ATTATTAAGATTACACATCAAATCTTATAAACTAGTAATCGTAACTAGAATTTATACTTATAATAAAACTTTACAAGGGATAATATCTATTATAATCTATGTTTACATTTTAATATCAAGTATAATCTAAGCAATTCTGGTGAGATAACCTCTTTACAAAAATTACAGCGAAACATGTCGATCATATCATATTGATTAAAATACTTATTCATAATTTCACGGTTTAAACCTGTCATGGGAGGATCACTTTTCTTAACGATAACATAAGGTTTCTTAACATTTTTGTTTCCCTAATATTTTTTTTCTCTACAGATTTGGTGTTTTGAAGTTTTCGAATCGGATCACTTGTATCAGGTTTCTTTACGCTCTTTTTGGCAATTTCTTGTGCGAGAAGTAACTTTTCATTAAATTTTCTATTCTTAACATATTCTCTCCAATCACCGTTATGTTTTGTGGTGAAATGTTTTTTCATAGTCAATACCTTGGGGTTTGTTCAAAACATATATCCATAGACTAAACATTTATTTTTACGAAAATAAAATATTATCGAATGTTTTTTATTATCAGCCCTTAGTCGATTAAATAGATGATAGCGAATCTGGCACCAGATCTCATTATGTTTTTCGATGAAATGTGTTTTCATCGTACTGATATTTGATGAGCAGAATTTTCGATTGCATATTTTACAAACTCTTTTGACAAAATATGATACGATTGGATAGTACCGTGATTTGGATATTGTCATTTGTTGCGTAAAGTTAAATCTGGTTTATTTATATTTATTTAACTATGCAATATTTTTGGTTTAGAATTAAAGATGTAATTGATGATCATACACTGCAGACCAGAGCTATGAGTTGGACATGGTTAGTCTCATCTAACTACTTCGGTCTGGCAGTGTATGATCATCAATCACATATTTTATCAAGTTATAACTTTATTGATTGGTTATTCAATTTTATAACTATTTCTATCTATATTAGAGCTTACTACATTACCACTCATAAGAACATGGGTCTGAGGAACCATGTATACTATCATATTTTTCACAACGTTCTCTATTGAGATCAATTATTAGAGGTCGTGTGATTATAGCATTACTTTTTCTTGGGTGTATCTCGACCTTTAAGAATATGATTCTAAGTTTTTCTGTGATCATGCCCTGGCAACTTGTCAAATACTCATTAAATGTTTCTTCGTTGTACTTGGTACAATAAAATGGACACTTTGCCCATGTTGCAACGCTTCCATCTGGTGAGAAGGTAGATGGATATGCTAATGCACATCGATAAATACATTTACAATACTCTATGTTCTATTTACATGAAACACAGCATTCATGTAAAGCTTCCTGGCTGCAGATAGGGCAAGTTCCATATTGGCATTTGAATGTAGTAAACCCTTTGTTGAAGTTGAAATCATTACATTTCTCATAAAAATACCAAGGCTCGATTGTA